ATTAGGTGGTACATTCACCACTCTCAGATATCAATATTGGAAAATCATATTATTTGATAGTCATAACTCGGGCCTAAAGGCACGATAGAACATAAAATTCGAGTGTCAAAAAAATCGACTCTACTATATTAAATAACAAATTTTCTTTTCTTCATTTCTTTGATTACATCATTTAAAATTTATTTTTACTCATTTTCTAAAAAATATCGACAAATTTTTTTCAAAATACGTAATCCGATAAAATTTTCTCAACGTGTATATATTATCGTGTATGGATAATATCTGAAATAAAAATTATGTTAAACTACACATTAATCAAATATTAAATGATTAGACAGATGATAGAAATTAGTGATGTAATATTTTTTGGAAAAAAAATATGTATGAGATAAAAATTTAATTTGCAAAGTGTTTTATGATATAGATATGACGCGGTTGAGACATAAAGTTAGTAAGGGTAATATTAGTGTTATAAACTTGAAAATGGCCTTTTTTATTGTGAACTTGATCTATTATGCATAAAAATACAAGTTGATTGGTATATTGCTTATGTCACGTTTGGGATGATTTATAAAATTTGAAAGTATTTTGTAATTAAGTGTTAATCAAAAATCATTTATTAAAAAATAACTTTTATAAAATAACACCATGTAGATGTTCAGAATAAAAATGCTCAGATAAAAAGTGAATTATAAAAATGTATCTTTAGATGATCAACAATGGTGTGGGGACATTTGGTAGGTGGTTTTGATGGTGATGAGTAGTGGTGGTAGTGGGTGGCGGGTGGCGGCGGTAGTTTGTGATAATAATAATTGTATACATGAAAAGTGTTTTTGACTAGCTAGTAAAGTTTTTAGAGAAAATAGAAGTTTCATTTTTTTTCCTACTTTTGAATTTATATGGAATAATACTTTAACTTACTACGAGCTAATTTCAAAAATTGTTACAAACACTATTTTTTTTTTTTGGTTAAAAATATTTACTACAAAGCATAAGTCTTAAAAATATTTTCCTTAAGCATTCCACATGCTACTATAATATTTCCAAATGTGCAATAAAGGCATAATTAAAGGATTATATTGGTGAAGGATAAAAAAATGTGTTGCCCTAATTACGGAATTACACCCGACAAAAGAAGGGTTAGAGGTCAACAAAACCAATTAGAAAGATCGAGCAAACTCCGTGGATAGTTTAATATAGACAATGATAAAATGTAAACTAAAATATTCTGAGCTCGAAACTTGGTAATTCTCCTACAGTAAAAAATTTAAGTATTTAGAGAATATAACTTAAATATTTATACTTCAATATATCCCTTCACGTGAAGGCTAGATTTTGGGCCTAACACTTGAAAATATTTTTAATAATTCAGGTAGAAGTAAGATTCGAATACAAGACCTCCTGTTTCAAGAATTAATTGAGGTACACATAAGTTCTATTTATCTACTCTAAAATTTTATTTAGAGATGATGTAACTTAAATACATTTATACTTCAACAAATAATTAATCAAAATATGCATAAAATATATTTATACTTTAACAAAAAATTAATCAATGCATGCATAACTGACCCGAAGATTTCTCATAAAAAAAAAAATCATGCAAGACCCACTATGTATCGTTGGTGTGATGAATAAGCCATGACAAAAGTGAATGGTAGTACGAATATGGACCATATTGTAATTCTTTATAATATTGAGGATTTTATTTAAACATTATGAAATTTTAAGGTACAAATTATGATTTTGAATATTTTTTGAGGTACAAAGTGACACTGTCACCCCACGTTGTAACTTTTCCACCATGTTGCATGCATAATTTGAGATTCTTAGAGCACCGCCATGGGGAGTGGTATTAGGGGTGACAACTCAATAACTGTTAAAATGTCACCTTAAATTTAAAATTTCACTTTAATGGAGTGACATTTAAGAGTCTTGGGGTGACAATTTTGACAACTCTGAATAGAGAAAGGAGAGGTTGCAAAGAGTCGTTGGGGTCTATTGTTCCCTCTCAACAGCTCTATTCAACCAAAAATTTTTATAAAAATACAGAGAGAGGGAAAAGGGAAGGAGGCTTACTGTGAAAATTGCTTGCCGGAAGAGGTTATGCTCCCTAAAAATTGTTTGTCGTTGTAAGCTTCTACTGCTTGAAAATCGTTTACCGTTGCCATTGTAAGTTGCCACGAAAGAGGCGCAGAGGGCGCAAAGGAAGGGGAAGGAGGTGTTCTGGGTGATTTTACCCCCAATTTGCCTCTTTGATCGTTGATGTTTCTATTTTTCAGGTACTATTTATTTTAGGGCAAATGATACCTTGTATCCCAAAAATTTTTTGTATTCTCAATTTATATATTAAATTTTTTTTATATTGTCATATTATACCATTAATCAAACAAAAAGTAGCAATGTGCTCTATTTTAAAAAATTCAACAAAAACTTTTTATTGAAAACATTTAAAATAGATTATTATGCAACTAGGCGTTATAATTTGTTTTAATTAAAAGTAATTTGATTTATTTTTTAATTGATTATTTTATCTTACCTTTTATAATTTTTTTTTATAGATGGATTCGCAATTTGATGGTTCTTTCATTAATTTGTTTGTGAACAATACCGATTTATATGATGATACTATGCATATCAATCCCATAGTATTTGCGCCAGTATAAAATAAAGGCACTCCAAGAATGAGAAAATCACAAAGGATAAAAAACTTCTTTCTAGAAGAAGATAAATTAATTGTATCTGTGTGGCTTAACATGAATAAAGATGTAATTATTGGAAATGAACAACAAGGTAGTACTTTCTGGCATAGAATATTAAAATACTTAGAATTTCATGAAGGCAATCAAGAAAAGTGTTCACAAACTTTTATTAAAAGCCGTTGGATTAATATAAATGCAAAAGGCAGTAAATTTGTCGATTTTTATAGTCAAATTAAAAGATTGCGACAAAGTGGACATACCGAGCAAAATAATGTAGTGATTGAGTTTTTTTAGATAGACACGACTGAATGATTGACTGAATGATTTCATATATTTTTTAGGTTAATGAAGTAAAAAAAAATGTTTGCTATGATCATTGGAAGACCATTTTAATACGAACATTGTTGAAATATATTGAAAATAGAGCGGAAATGGACTGATAATCTCACTAGCAATAAAAAGAGCAAAAACATATTCAACTGGTAGTCTTGCTAAATCAAATCATGTTGAATCTTGTTATTCAATTTCATATTTAGGGGATAACACTGAACCCTTGTCCACTCCCAACCTCGATAGGCCATTGGGCAAAAAAAGTTCGGAGAAACAACTTAAAAATAAAGAGAAGCAAACTGTTGTTGAAGTATAAAGAGAAGCAAACTTGAGTGACACGACAAAATTTATACTCAACAAGAGATAACATTGAAGCAACATCGTAGACATTTAAAAATTGAAGAAATGCAGGTGCAAAAAATTGAAAGGAAGAATGAACTGTAGAATGAAATGAAAATCATGAAAACTGACACTACTGGTATGGACTCAATTTTTGCAACATATTGGAATAACATGAATATAAAAATTATGAAAAAACAGGGTTTTAATTTTTAGTAGTTGTTTATTATGTTGCTATTATTTTTAATTTTTAGTCATTCTTTATTATGTTTCTATCATTTATGAAAAATTATGTATTAAGTTTTAATTGTGGTGTATAAGTTTAATTATATTTTTTAATAATATAATTAAAAAATGGTATCCCATTTTAGTAGCTATTATTGGAGTAAATTTATAATTTAAGAATGTCAAAACACTGTTTAAGATTACAAATAAGTGATTTGACATATCAAAATGACAACTCCCTTTAAAATTGCACTTAGTGCTGAACTGCCCTGATGGTGACATTAAAAAAATTGATACTCTTTTTATTTTGTAATTACGATGTATTTTAATATCGACTACTCTTCCGAGTGGAGCCACCGTGACTTAAAATAATTTAGACTATATTCAGATGTCCCTGAGGGTACTTGTGGAGTCTCACATCAAGATTATTGTTACCGAGGTACTTTTTTAGCTATTATATTTAAAAATTAAAACTGTCAAAGACCTAAATTATAATTCAAGATGATCTAATTTATAATTTAAAAAATTCTTATGGATGTAAAATATTATAATCAGTCATGAAAAATATAAAATTTAAATTAAATTACAATAAATTAAAATTATTCATGATGGATTAGAAATAATTATGAATTTTCATTTATACATTATAATAAGTTCATAAATAATATTTTTTAATGCAAAAATATAAATTTAATATTATAGTTAGAAAGTTAAATTTTTAACTTATAAAAACATAACATCTATTAAAATTGATATATTTTTCATTTATAATGATCAAATAGTACAAAATTGATCATAAAATATTTTTTTTTTCCAAAAAACATCATTTTTTGCATGACTCTCAATATTAGATAACTCAACGAACATACTCTCCGATGTCAAACAATTCTCTTAATCCACACAAATCTCTCTTCTCTCCCCTATATGTTGTTTTCTATTTATTTTAAAATTTAAATTAAAAAATTAAAAAATTATTACTTAAATTACAAATATTACACCATCGATACTCTTTTTTTGGTATTCTATTGTGTGTTCAGACAAGAATTATTGATAATTTTTCAATATCACAATCATTTGATTGGTATAAACGTGGAAAGAACGTTTAGTGAAATAATGATGTGATTATACAATACTTGAGGGGTCGATCTCATTTACTGACAAATTATACGTAGGTAAGTGTAATTAATCCCTTCAACAAAAAAACTAGACATCCCCAAAATTCGAAAACGGAAGAATCACCGTTCCAGCTCTCTCTCTCTCTCTCTCTCCCTCTCACTTCTGAATTCTCAATTCCTCGCCGTGAAACCCTAATTAACACTCCGCCGGTACCATCAAACCGCTTATTTTCGCCGGAACTTGCCCTTTTCTTCAATCTCCGGCGGTTCTCTCAGATATTGCATTAGAATGGAACTCCTCAGCGTCGAACCTCAAGAGCTTCAATTTCCATGTAATTTTCTCCACAACATCTAATCGTTATTATTGAAAATTTCTTATGGAGTAATCGCTATTGTATTCAGATCTGTGCTTTTGCTTTTTTGTTTCGAGTGATTTTGTTTGATTTTTTTTTCTTTGTTCTTTGATTTTTGAAGTTGAACTGAAAAAGCAGATCTCATGTTCTATGCAATTGACGAATAAGACAAGTAACTATGTGGCTTTCAAGGTATTTATTTTGATTTCTAAATGAGATGTTGTTTCATTGTGATTTTGGATCAGTTGCGCACCCTGGTACGTAATGATGTGGGGTTTCGATTATAAGATCGGTTTTTAATTTTTCAGGTGAAGACGACAAATCCGAAGAAGTACTGTGTGCGGCCTAATACAGGAGTTGTCATGCCCAACTCTACTTGCGATGTCGTTGGTATATAACTAACTGTCTCTCACTCTCTCTCTCTCTCTCTCTCTCTCGGTTTGTCAATATTTAAACGACTACTTTTCTGTTCTTTTTTTTGAATTTATTATTTGTTGCCACCATGATAATCCTGTTAGATTATGACTTACTTTTGGTTTAAAGTTTTGCTGTAGATACACTATCTAGGTTGTAATTTAAGTCCCTTAACGAGAGTTTAAGTACAGGCGACCTTAACAATTAGAATTATTGTTCTATAGTACTAACCGCCGAAGAATAAGAAAAAGATTGCTTTAATATCTGAATTAATGCAGCCTCTCATTTTGTTTTTAATATTTAAGAATGTGATCTATAAGAAGTAGCTGAAATCCATGAAGACATGTCGACAGACACACCGCATGAGCTTAAATTCACGATGCTTTATTATGGGATCTCCTTGGAGCAAAAGTGATGATACAGATTGCTGGAATAGCACACAACACTTGTTTATTGTAAAAAGACTAGGGGAGCTATCTCTCTGGAGATTTGCTTATATTACCACTAAGACGAGGTCACAGGAATTACATAGGAATCAAAGAATATCCTTAAACATAATGCTTCCCTTTGAACAGAATATCGATGAAATGCATGGTAGGCCGCTTCATTGTGTCTATATGACCACGGTATACAGAGAGAGTGTGTTCCTGTTCTTTTGAATTTGGCACAATCTAGACCCGGCAAACAAGCACTTGCCCATTGAATCATGCATGATACAAGACACAATTCTCATTCCAAAGCCAGGAGAATCGTTGTAGCATCATAGTGAAGGTGGCAGACAATAATGGAGACCTGTCAGTGGTTTAACCTAACCGACCCTGCTAGGCATGGCAGATGCCATCAACAGAATGAGCTTAAAGACAAGACGGTAATCATAATATTACTGCTAATGTTGATGATCATTGCAATCATATAGTCTCTTTATTCTTGCTTTACATATCAAGTAGTAGTTATGTGAAGTGAATGACAATACAGCTGAAGGCACAATGCTGTATTTATATAGGGAGAAAAAGTAGGCATACACCAAACTCGACCCAACAAAGTATTTATCCCTATTATTTGGGGTCAGCTACATGAATCCTATGTATATCTGTTAAACTGCGAGCTATCATATTTTTTTTATAGTTTTTTCCTCGAAGTTAATTTCAATTTATCTCCACCCCTCACATTACCTTTAGTATGTATCAAATCATTGTTCACCCCTGGTACATTATTAGTCCTATAAACATGTCCAAACTAGTCTATTCTCTCTTAATTTATCTTCTGTTGGTGTTATTTCTAATGTTTCACAAATAGTCTCATTCCTAATTTTTGTTCTACTTGTTTCTGAATATCATCCCCTTTTCTTAGTGTTAATTATCATTTTGCTTATCTAATTTTCTTTGGACCATCATATTTCTGTCACTAAGATTGGTGAGGTTCTGTGAATTTAACATTGTTGTGTCACTAATATGGTGCGTGCATGTTAATTTATGCATGGTTTAGTTACTATGCAAGCACAAAAGGAGGCTCCTCCTGATATGCAATGCAAAGACAAGTTCCTACTTCAAAGTGTGGTCGCAAGTCCTGGAGCCACAACAAAAGATATCACTCCAGAGTTGGTAATGATATTATAATGACTAGATAAATGTCAAAATGCTACGCTAAAAGTTTAAAGTAGAAGTAGTTGTTATATTGTGTTCTCTCCATTTTAGTTTAACAAGGAGTCAGGGAGTCATGTTGAGGAGTGCAAATTGAGAGTTGCTTATGTTGCACCGCCACAACCACCATCACCTGTGCGTGAAGGATCGGAAGAAGGTTCTTCACCTAGGGCTTCAGTGTCAGATAATGGGACTGTGAATGGAACAGAGTTCAATTCTGTGAGTAATTGCGATGTTTAAATGGTCTATTTGGAAGACAGGATTTATTTAAGTTTGTTATTCTACTTTACTGACTTAAGTAGATTCTAAAATACCAGTACCTTCATGCTTGCAGGTCGCAAGATCCTATGTTGAGACCCAAGAAAACTCATCTGAGGTTATTTTCTGGATTTTTTCTATTTGTAGTCCATCATTAAATGTTTATTTGCTCTGTGAGTCATTTTTTAGATTTAGAAGAATTATGTAATTAGTAATCAGTGATGTGTAGGTGCATTCCATTAGGTAATTAGATGTGCCCTTGAGTCGTCTTTTGATCTTATTATCTGCTAACTTTCTTTTTTTTTATCTCTTTGTTTCTTTGGTTTTACCTACTATGAAGAAGACATAACTAGCTAAATTGATCTTATTTTCTCATGAATATCTAGGCTTTTAATTATGGTAGAAACTTCACAAGCTACCTTTTGGATGGCTATAGTAGTATTAAATTTTGGTGTTTGAACATCACTTATTTTGATTTCAGGTAAGGGCCCTTATTTCTAAGCTGTCTGAGGAGAAAAATTCTGCTATTCAACAAAATAACAAGCTTCAGCAAGAACTGGTAAGCGCTCTAGCGTTGAAGTTGTCTCTTAAATTTTTTTTTCATGGTACAAGATAAAGTAGCCTTTTTATGAAACTTATGAAAACTTAAGTTAGATGTGATCAAACTATGTTAAAACTTGAAACAAAATAAGATCATACTCCTAGTATTTGTTGGGAAGAAGGTTCTTGAAAGAGCTATGCAATAAGGCTTATAGTGATTGCATCACTATGTTTGATCAACACTGATAAAGAATTTGCATCATGAACTTCATTTTACAATCAGTCTGGTTTGTGGAAAGATGAAGAAAAGGAAAGAGTAATTGATATACAAAAAGTTTTTTTTTACAGGTTTCTCCTACTGTGAATGCCAAACCAGTCTTAATTTATTTGCTATATGTTCATGCTATCTGGTAATGAAAACTAGGAGAGTTGGATAATGTTTCAACTAAATTATCTTTTCTTTACCAATTCGAGACTAACTTACCTACTTCCGCTCCTACCAGATCCAAGAGAAGAGGCTAATTGCAATATGTGCTGTACTATATTATCTAACACCCAAACATGGAAGAGAATGATCCCCTCTAATTCCGTAGTAGGCCTCTTAAAACTCATTCTCTAAGGACCAATATTTGCCTATAGATGTTTCATTCGGACAACTACACCTGTCAGTTTTTAGCTCATCGAACGTTAGCAAGCATAAGACTTCCGCCTGGTTTCCATATCGTTCCAAAATTTGCCAGTATTGACTCTTGTTTGCCTCAGAATTCTGCAGAAAAATGACAAGTATATTTCATCTTTCTATTTTCATTTAAAAAATTAAGAGAAATATTTTGAACTACTTTCTACTTCTTTATTGTATTGGCTTTTGACAAGTTGATAGTTATAACCAGGCATTTTTTAGGTTTGACGATAAAAAGACAACATTTTATGGTCCATAGTCACACTACTCACTGATCACTTTGATCAACAATTGTGAAACTGTGGCCATGTTTAGGTTTCAAAGTGCTGTGGTGTCTAAAGTATAGTATACCGTTGACATGTGTTCATGATGCCCAAGTTATTAACAAAAGGAGTGTAAATAAGTGAGATGTAATAAAGTTAGATGCTGAGTGATAGCTGGAGGATGGTTTTGTGGGGTAATTTGTGGGGGTGGGGTGGGGAATACATATTAAGGAAACAATAAATTCAGTAGCTGGGAGTTTCTTAAATGATAGAGGAATAGATAGGGTGTCATTCCCAATGAAAATTCAAACCTCAATATAAGAAAGTTTTAAAGATTGCTTAACTCTGAAATAGTATGCTTACAGTAACCTCAGAAGCATAAAAGCAACAAGAAAAAAAAAGGTGTGATAAGTCAAGAAATATCGTGAACATTTGAAACTATATAGGAAGCTCGAAAGGTGTACACTTTGTGAAAAGATTGTGGATGTTAAATTTGTACCTAGTCTATCCTCTGCATTCCGTTTTGTTGGACGAACACATTATAATGTCCTCTAATAAAGAGAGAAGATATTGAAGGACCTACAAATGGGAACACTAAAACCAAAGTCTTACCCTCTTTGAGCTAATTTTGTGCAGGATCTATTGCGGCAGGATGGTAACAAAAGCCGTAGTGGTATTCCATTCATATATGTTGTTATTGTTGGCTTGCTTGGCCTCCTTCTGGGGTACATTATGAAGAAGACATGAGCGATGGAGTTTTGGCTCTTATTCCTTTGTGCTTGTTGCTGCTCCAGCTATTTAAAAGATTTTAGAACAATGAAGACGTGTGACTGATTGAGAGGCCATTTGTATTGTATTAGCTGTCTTTCTCGACTCTGGAAAACATGGTCAAACGGGTTTTGATGGGTTTTGCACATGCTTAGGTGAGCTCTAAGATCATCCATTGTGCGACTAACTGCTTTGACGTACCTATTTTAGTAACATTAGGATGGTGTATTTTGTTAGCATTATATTTTCCTCTTCTTTTTTCCATGCATGAAGCTGCATCACAATAGTCAATTGGCTCTCAGATGGATGGCATGGGTAAGTGGCAGACCAGTTCGGTGTAATAAGCCAAGTGCAAGCTTTCCCTGTTCTGCAAAATTGGGACGCTGTTTATTTTTTTGGGTACTAATTTCTTGAATCCAAACTGACGTATCTGGCTTGTGATTGCTAGTTATTTTTAACTAAAATCACAATTTGAGCTGTTTTTTTTTTCATTGGATTAATAAGATCAATTCCTTGCTTATTTGGGTCATATTGATTTGGATTTTGTTTGGTTTTTTTTTTTTAAAAAAGAGATCAGGTTTGATTGTTTGTTTTCATAATTGTGCCATTTGATGTGAAATGTGGAGTTTATCCCTCTCAGGGCTTTGCCCCTTATGACCAAGCTCGAGGTTCGTGTTAAATTTTTTGAGGGCGGTGCTTTAAGGGTAGAGGCTTATCTTTCTTAGGGCCTTGTTCCTAACGTCCGAACTCGAAGTTTGTGTTAAATTTCAAGATTTGACTCTTGAAGTCAACTTAGTAGTAAAAAAATTTCAACTTTGATATATTCCATGATTGTTTTGTAATTGATATGCCTACGTGCCCCCTGTGGCAATGATTTTGTATGGACCCTCTTAATTGGGGTTGAGTTTTTCTTCAATAGATTCTTGTGTATTGCCCACAATTTTGCGCAATACTAAGTCCCTCACCTGAAAACTCTTTGTTCGGATTTTCTTTTGATGCTATCTTGATAACTCCTTGATAGTTAGTTAGTTGTATAGATGTCAATTTCTTTTCTTTCTCAATCAAATCGAGATCCCCGGCTAAGATTTGATCATTATTTCTTAACTCGAAGGCTTGATTTCGTATAGTCGAGAGTTCTACCTCCAAAGATACGATTACTCAAAAAATTTAACACAAGTTTCAGACTCGATCATTAAGGGTAAAGTCTCAAGAAGACTAAGCTGTCATCTTAAGAGCGCCACCCTTGAAAAGTTAACACAAGTCTCGAGTTCGATCGTTAGGGACAAGACCCGAGAGGAATAAGGCTCTATACTTGTGTGCTGCCACTATCTAAAAAATCATTACATACATTTTATTGTAATTATGTTGAACTACTCGGACTGTGTTTAATTAGATAGAACTTAACTCAAGCTCAATTCATGTTTAAATGAGTTGAATTTGAACAATTTTTTAAGCTGAGTTACCCGAGGCCAAGCTCAACTCAAATAGAACTCAATTCAAACTTGATTCATGTTTTAAATGAGTCAAATTTAAATAATATTTTAAAATTGTTTAAAAAATGAGCCCAGAAAAATTTAATTCAGGTTCACAAAATTTAACTCGTTTATGTAAAATAATTGAGTTACTTAAATTTAACTTATTTTAAACTTGATTTATTTTCTAAATGAGTTAAACTTGAATAATTTTTTAAACTTGTTTCAAAAAATGAGCTTAATTCGAACATGTAAAATTCAACTCAATTATCAGTTCTGCAAATGCTTATATTTATAGCGGGTACGAAAAGTCCAACCTAATTTTATTCCCCTTTGGAGAGACTAATTCTAAAGCCTATGCAAAGAACAGAAAGAGGGAAATGTTGCACCTGGCCCGATCCGGTTTAACCCAGTGTCAGAGAAGTAAGAATACAGAAGTATTCACTTTATTCTCCCAATATAGAGTCCTCAAATTTTGACTGTGTGAATTAAGTGCTTAATAATTGTGTCAATTAAATCCTTCTTCTACTACCATTAAAAAATCTACGGACACAAATGATTGAAATAAATTATATAAATGATCTTCAAACTATGACATTTATATCAATTAAACCCCTGAATTTTTATTTTTTTTTGTTGCCAATTGAACCCTAAACTCTCTAATTGTATAAATTGAGCCATTTTATCTTTTTGTGCCATATAATCACGTGGGGCGCACTATATCGGAAGCAAACAGAAGTATCTAATTGATATAATTAGATAGTTCAGAGCTCAATTGATACCAAAAAAAATAAAAAATTTAGGGACTTATTTGACATAAAGATCATACTTTGAAGGTCATATGTGTAGTTTACTCAAAAATATCGGCCAGAACGTAAACATAAGCAATTCAGAGAGCTTTGCCGTCAGGGAGCTGAACCTCGAAGAGGGCCACCAAGGAGGCCGAGGAGAGCTATCTGGTGCCAGGGTTCTGCCCGTAATTCATAAGACTTCCTAAATCGAGTGCTGCGATAAGTGATTTTGTCCGAGAGGCATTTCGTCCGATTGGTTGAGAGCTACAGGAAGTGAATTCAATTGGCAGCATAAAGTTCGGTATAATTCTTGAAAAAAGTTCACCTGTTAAAACATTCGAAACGAATTGAAGAGAAGATAAGATGAATATAGAAACCGAAAGAACAGGTTTTATGTGACGATTCATTAAATCAGTGACGATCTGGGTACATCAATCCAAACGAGATGAGTTCGTAATCTAGATCATTAAAATATATTATCCCAAATTATAATACTAATCTGAAATCGATTCTCTTTGGAATATGTAACACAACTATAAAATATATACACATATATATAGATCTATAATTATATAGTGTTTGAGATAATAAAAAATTGAGTATAAATATAAGATAAATAGTAATTGACTTTGCGTTTATAAATATTGTGTAACAAATAATGTTGTATAATAGTGTAAAGTATCTAGATAAGAATTCCAAAACGAATCCTTGATCAGAAATTTCTCTATGAAAAAAACGAATCGGAGTTTGAGGAAGGGGAAGGAAAAGAAGCCCTCGGCCTGCACTAGATAGAGGAGGATTTATTCAATCATATAGTTTGGACTCCTAGACTATGGAGCGGCTACGATATTATAAGTTTCTTCCTCTTGACCGAATTTGTAATCTTCATTAGTAGATTCATTTTTTGTGGTTTCCCTAATCAAATAGAAGTTACCAAGGAACCATGTAGAGCACTGAATAGGGAGCCCAGTTAAGCCTACCCCCATCATATTGAGTACCTAAGAAAGTGTCGTACTGTGTACCCGTATCATGTACCAAAACGACCCACAATCCAGACAACATTCACAGTACCACAATTTGTGACTTTCAGCAGCGAGAAGAAAAATACGAATAACAGCAGAAATAAAAGTGAAATATAGGATCTCAACGAATCAGCTTGCTCTAAATTCAAATTAAAACGGCTATTAGTTGATTCAAATTTAGTGCTACCTGGTAGCTCAATAATCCTGGGCCTACTAAATATCTTTGAGCTTTTTAGGATTTCAAGTTCAAAACATGATTTTCCATTGAACCACAGGAATAACAGACAATTTTCTTCAGAACAACCATCACAAAGTTCATTAGGATAAGAATCTAAGCACCATTTCTAAATAACATAGATCCTCACTTGCTTGCAACATACCTGGAGAAATACGATACCCAACTGGCTAATCATGCTTTTGAAGTCACGATGGTAGTTTCAGTCTTCTGTACCATGTTGCATCGATCAACAATTGTGCGAAAATCATCAAGGCTTAGCTGCAAAGAAGCCAGCCAGACAGTTGGGACGAATAATGAAGTAAAGGAACAAACACTTTTTTTCCCGGAAAGTAAAGTTGTAGAGGGACAACCATAATATCAAGTTATCAACTACCCATAATGTATTCCTAATGTATTAGGCAATGCTGATATACAGTAACTCCCTCAGGCACCATTACACATTTATGTGTTGCTTAATAGTCCAAGTTATGGAGCCATTTAAAAATGGAAAATGAACACTCCGTTTTGGCTTACATTTCTGCAGCCTACAAAGAGCAAGCAATTAGATCAGATGGCATATCTCTTACATTAAAAACACACAGGATGTACATAAATGATCACGATCCCTGAAAATACAGATACAAAAGATGCAAATCACCTGGTTTATTACAACTGTCAAGTCTAGTAAGCAGTGCTGACTGGTAGGTTCAACAACTACTGTGGTGTTAGTTCTTAGTTGGACCATTTTTGATACCAATATCAAATCATTTTCCCAGTTACATGATCATAAAAACAAAACTCATTACAATTTATCTTAGAAAATTTTGATGAGCATAACCATGCAAATAGATAATAGGGAAGAGAAGAAATTTCTGACGAGTCACTAGTTAGTCTTTTCTTTTATCTTGTAAGAGTAGTAGTATGCTAGACTTTTCAAGGAATTCTTGTAAGCCACTTGGTCATCAACCAATAATGTCTCTACATTCTTTTGTTTTCGGATGTCATTACCAAAAAAGATCTGCATACAGCGGTACCTGTGCACCAAGTTCAAAATCCAACCAAAATTCTCTAGGATGCACTAGACCAATTTTAAGAGAGAATTGCTTTCCACCTCCATTAACCATTTAGCATTCTTGTCTTCCCTTTCCCTTTATTTTTCTCAAATCAGAAATTACAAACAACATCTGATGGGACAAACACAAATGAAAGAATAAAAGGAAGACTGAGAGCAAGTAATGACCTTCCCATCACCATCACTATCAAAGCAATAGATCATATCTGCTATCTCTTTGTTTGTCCAAGTAAAATCATGGGCAGCTGCTACTCTCTGTAAGTCCCTTAGAGTTATGCTCCCTTTCCCCATTTCTGTGAAGCAACGTTCCACCTCATCAACGGCAGAAGTAACTTAAGAAGAACAAATCCTAACAGAAAGATTACAGAATGCAGAAATATTTAAATTTACAATGTCTGATAACAACTTTTCATTTACTTGGTCGTTTCCAATATTATGAAGGGATAGAAAGGGCATATGTTAGATCATGGTTCAAAGTATCGGCCGAGTCATATCCGTCTCAGCAATTGCCGATCCAATAACAATACACGTTACACCAATATAACGAGATTCGACTGAATCGGTCCTGACTTGGTTACAACACGGTGGTATCGGCCCAACTCAGAACTAAATCGGTTGGACTTCGCCGAGTCGAACAGAATCAGACTGCTATGGTACAACTAGATCTAAAAAATTTGAGCAGCAAAAACCCTAAAAAAAAGAGAAAGGAAGAAGAAAATGGACGAGACTCACTTGCATATTTATGGGTTAGGTTGAATTCATAACAAAATAAACAAAAGAGGATTGATAAGAAATAAAACAAAAAATAAAACGCCCATCAGTTAAAAATCCACAAAAATTCATCAGCTTTTCAAAATTCAAACCCTAAATCAATGACAAAGAAAATCCTCCAGTCCTAAATCACACTTTTTTGGAATTATAAGAACAAAAGAAGAAGAATAGAAAGTATACGTAATAAAAACCTACAAATCTTCATCTTCATCTTTATCTACTTCTTGTTGCCCTTTAGAAGCAGAGCTGGAGTGCCCAACATCGTCTCTTCTTCTCCAGTAGAATGACGGTTCTCTCTGCCTTCACGAATCATGATCGACTCTCTCTCTCTCTCTCTGCGTTCGACGAAATGAGAGTGTTGGACCGTTAGGTACCAAGTAGTCAGTACAAATAGCATTAGTGTTATATATAGATGTCGGTGGGCATTGGGAGTATACCATGTATGTTAAAACCCTATTTAATTATTATAAAATTAGATTGCATGATTATTATGTATGTAAATATATAAACTAAAGTTTCTTTAAATTCTTATATGTTCCCATACATCATTTTTTTTTTTATAATCACATAAATCAAATTGATTTTTTTTGGTAATTTTCATGTGTTGTTTAATTATAAAATGTGGCGATGATTATAGAACGGTATTTTTTTAAATGTTTAAATTGAATGTCATAAAGATAAATATTTTCATTAGCGCCCTTATAATTCGTTTTTACTATATTTAATGTCTTCGATTATGTATTTTGACATATGATATACGAATGATGTTGTTTACATTTTTAAATATTTTTCATAATTTTTTTAGAATTTTTTGAGTTTTCTATCTAGTATTTTGAACCTATCAACCGATATTGTGCCGATACGCCGCGACCGATGTGTATCAGTGTCATCCAAATCGATGGCCGATACCGCAACTTTGAACCATGTGTGCCATGGTGAGGGTCAATCACACACACGAAGATATCTATATAATAAGAGAGCTAGAAGTTTGAATCTTATCCCCATATATTTTTTCGCCCCTTTCTATCACAAGTTGAATTATTTAATTTTTTATTAATTTGTGACTCAATACAATTTATTTCACACATTGTTCATATACGATAGTGTACACATGTTGATAGTTTTTTTGAGGTCATTTGTTGATTTTTATAAAAAGTAACGGGTAGAAATTAATTTCAAATTATGTAATTAAAAAAAAGAAAAGAAAGAAAAATTGTTATTTGATATAATGGTATCGATTTTTTGGATTCTTGAATTTTATGTTGCATCATGCCTTCAGACTCGGGTTATGACTGATAATATATACCCTCCGAAAGTCAAAATTGGTATTTGATGGTGACACTAATGAAATCTTCAAATGTTAGGAGCCTAAGACACCGGCGGACTCCCCATTCCAGTGCATTTTCAATATTTGGTGCTGATGCAAAGGATCTTATCTGCATTTCTTACAAGCCTCTGACATATTTCTTCTCGCTGATCCCTTATCAGTTTAGAAATTTAAGAGGAAATAAACTTTCCAACAATTTTATGTGATCAGCCACACTCAGATTCAAAATAATTCTAACTTCCTTACATAACTTGCTGAATCCTAGATTAGGTCCTTCATTCTGTTAACTAGTTACATAAGAAGGCCAGACTGTCTTCGGTGCACAACTTTTTTGAGAAATATTCAAACAGCAACCAGATACAGAAATTCTCCAAGCAAAACTACCTATTGGTAAAGTTACACTAACAATCCAAATGTGTGGGCAATGAAGTACCCAAGTCAGACACGATTTCACACTTTATGGATTGGGTTCATATATCCATATCTGGTTGGACTAATACAACTAGCGTGTCTGGTAGTTCAAATTTTACAAAACTCTTGTACAACCTAACTGCTTACATAAATCAAGTGGCATGCCAAACATTCTTATGTTATATCCACATTCCATTCACCCGTAAAAATGTAAAGAGAAAATATAAAAGATTTTGAAAAATCAACTGCATTCTGTATCCTTGGATTTAACAAATGAGTTTAAATGCACATATAGATACACATGAAAGATAGGTATGTGGCCATGGACAAGATTGCCCTGATAACAAATGTTTTATTGGTTCAATATTTCAATATTTGCACTCATTTATAACATGGTAGCAGGGACTAGAGATTACCGTCAAATGAAAAAAGTGTACAACCAACTCATCTTCAGTCATTTGCACTCGACTAGAATTTTGCTGACCACAAATGAAAAAGGTGATCAACAAAGCAGTCAGAAAGAAAAGGAAAATAAGGGAAGAAGGAAAAGCAAAATTCTTTAGTAAAACCACCAATCCAGGCCAAAACAAACCGATTTTTTTCTCTTCCTCTTTCCTGTATCTTCCTGAGAATAGCTGGTGCCTTTCCTTCATTAGTCATACCCTCTACTATATGTGCAGCAGAACTTTGAGAAGGAACATTGTTCACCATATCCAAAA